TGCCCCCCCCCCCCCCCTAAAAAAAATGTACCGGTCACTTTTTTAAAATACACCTTTTCTTTTTCCTGAGTCAATAGGAGCGACAGGTAACTGAGTCTGAGTGAATAGCCAACAGTGGTCATTCTGGTCAGGCATTTTATGGTGGAGTAAGTGCACCAGTCAGCTGCTCTTGCTTTGTCGATCATAATATGATAAGTATTTCGATATTTTGATTATGCCTTCAAGGGAGATAACTACTGTTAAGAATATTTGATCAACAAGACCTGTTCACATCAGAAACCTAAAAGTTTAACATGGCCATAATATATTTTATACGCCTCAATAAAATTATTATTAATTACTATACCATAATAGTTTTGATTTTTTGAATGATTTCTATTATTTTACAGATCTTGGCAGAATTCCATCGACTTTCGGAGTTTGATATAGACGAACGGTTATTAAGCTGTATCAAGGAATATGGAATGGCATTAATTAAACTATCCACAAACGCCAATGTAATTTTAGAGGAAATGGCTGATGAGTCCAGTATAGACAATAATAGTAAGATATTTATAATTCTATGTGATGATCTCGTAGATAGTTGTATTGTGTATATATACAATCTACAGTGAAATATAGTCAATACACAACAGAATACATTTTCGATGTAAATTTAATGCCATGGGCATAAAAATAAAAATAAAACTACAAATAATTATTTAAAATCGCTTAATATTTTTCAGCGTTTTTTAATGATTTTTTAGTTCAGGGATTTATAGGATTATACAAAGATTCTGTTGCCAAAATTTATTTATTTCATGTTCATTCAGGTAGTATTCCTTTAAATCAAACAGTTTCAGTCGTGAGCCACAGCACAAAAATCTATCATATCGTCTTTTCAAGTTTCTTAACAGCAAAGATATTAAACTTGGATTTTAAATTCGTCTTTAAAATGTTTATATCATTTTTGAAAATATCGATATTGATCTTTAATTACAATCAATTTTATACTGCTTATTGAAAGCCTACATCTATCTTAAGTCCTTTCATAAATATAATAGTGTGAATAGGTGAAATTCTGATGTGAATGAATTCGTTGGGTTGTGATCGGTTTTTAATGTGAAATATAAAAGTTGATTTCTATTAGTAGGGTTTGCTGGTTATATGGCATTAATATCCATTTGTTTATTATTTAATGAAGACCCGCTGAAAATATTTTTTCCAGTTGAATCGGTAAGTATTTATTAGTCATATTAAACAGAAAGATAAATGAAATCAACACCATATAGCTATATAGCTCCAGAACACGAAAAAAAAAGAACAGTACAGAAAAGAAAACTAAAACAATATCATATTAATCAGGGTGGTTTCTTTTTGCACATAAGGGGAGATAACATATTATCCGAAAAATTCAGAAATATGTGGAATGCCCCGTCCCATATTTGTTAAAATAAAATTGTCTTCCTTTCAGAGACCAGATAATATATCTACACCTCTCATCTTGTACGCTGGGGAATCGGTACATACAGCAAATACATTTACCATCATTGTGGATGAAACAGAAGTAGCTGAAGCTTTCGAAATTTTATTTTCTACATTTTATGTTTTCAATATTCAGTACACTAAGAAAGCTTTGAATTTCTATATGTTCATTCAAAGATTTGTTTTGAACATGAATGATAAGACTCCTCCTCCAAGAAAAGTTTTGTCAGTAATAACGAAACTTACAAATAAGTAGAACGTTACTGTTAGAATATACAATAAAAATATTAAATGAACAGGTATTTTTTTTAATTATTCAGCAAACTGAATTGCCTTTTTTTATTTTCTGACAAAACTGTAATGTCACTCGGTTATGACTCACATGATCAGATTGCGACGAGTTAAAAGAAACTCCCTGGTAAGTCATTTGACTCATTGACAAGTCACTATTTACATGTTTCAATAGACTCACAAATTGGTCGTTAATGAGTTTTGAAACTCCTGGTTCGCTGAGTCAATTTACTCCCTTATGAGTCATTTCACCCATAAACAAGTCACTTATTGAATGAGTCAAAATGACTCACTATTGAGTATATTGACTCATTTGCAAATGAGTCCCAAAAGAGTCGTTTTATTGGAAAAGTCCAAAACTCACGTAAATGAGTACATTTACTCACTATTGCTTCACTTATTTTTCTGTGTGTACGTAACGAAAAATAAGGTTATGGCTTTCAGGGCTGCGTTATGCGAAATGGTTCAACAAAATACTAAGTATTCGTATCTGTAGACCTACTTAAGAACTGTTTTTAAATATCTTTCTGTTTATACTTAGCTGAGGATGAAACCAGACATCATAGCTTTTCATAACATTTTTAAATTTAATTACATTAGAATAGATAATTTGATACAATTGAGTTCGTTGAAAATCATAAAAAGGCTGCAGTAAAGCGTCATTGGTAACAAAATTATTGGTCTGATACTGGATTGTAATCTGTCTCGTCTCTAAATTCAAAAGATTTGATTGGTTGATTATAAATACTAATAGACATATATTATCATAAATTGTATTCATATGAATCAAACAACCAAACGTAGGAAAAATGGATAAATATTTGATCAAAAAAGACAAATTGCTTGATGCTTCCGACACTACTACGACTGACACTGGTATCAAAACCACAGCGGGCAACACAACGGATGCAGTGCCAAGATGCTCTGAAAAGACAGGAGTACCAGGTGACATTGGAAAAGAAGACGTTCAAAGCAACCGAGAATAAAATTTCCAGCGAAGTCTGGTCGCCATTTTAGTAACAGTTGGTATATGATCGATTTCCATGGCTGGAGTATTCAGTGTCAAGGGACGTCCCTTTTTGATTTCCATGTCGGGTGTTTCACAATACATCTGCGGGTGCATAAAAATTCATCACTGAAGGCTACACAGATTGGAAGCATACTGTAGGTGATACTGGAAAGGGCCTCCTCGAGAAGCATAACAATTGAGGTGCCAAAACAATCTCCAAGATAACGTTGCCAAGATAGAAAATCAGGACTCCAATCTTGTTTTTCAAAAACTATACGAGCAGAAATTGGCTTTCCCTAAATTATATGCACTGACTGCAAGCGTTGCCACATTCGGTTCTAGTACCGCTGTGTGTGAAAGCAGCTTTCAACTCTTACTCGCGTTGACTCACCACAACGACGATCTATGACTCAGCTTCGCCAGCGCAATCTTGTTCTTCTTGCCTTCAACAGGAAGCGTACCCAGAAAATTAACTTGGACGTATTTGTTCAACGTTTTGCCATAAAACATACCCGACTACGTTTAAACTAAAACGGCAATAAAAATGTAACGTATTATAACTTGTGTGATTTAACAAAAATAATCTCGAATCTAAAATACTCCATGAAAGTCCGTTTCCCGACGTTTAATCGTCTGTTAAGGTGCTTTGCTAAATTGCCCCCCTCGATTGCACGTTTGCTAAACTGTGCAAATATTTATGTAGAAAATGTGTTGAATAGAATAGCGCAATTAGCACAATCTTTTTAGATTCCAGTCGTCAAGGGATCTGTAACATGCAGAGTCAGTAGCACACAGGGCCGCGGTTTAATATCCCATCCTAACAACTAAACGCCTTTTCCATGTGAGCCAAAGGGAGGTTATATTTTGCATTACCCGCCATTGCAAAGGCTAATTAATTTCAAACTCAGTTGAAGGGAGGCAAGCCACAATAAATTATAATCCTCGTGTCTTAAACTTGAACTTTGCAAATTTTTGCAAAGACGAGCTGGTAATGGTTATTCCATGTTTTTAAAAATTGTAGCCTAAGCATTTATTGGAACCAATCTTGTATAAAAAATAAAAAATTTACATTAGAATGCAACGTGACTCAGCTCAGCGAATTAGAAGCATGCTCTCTTAGTTTTACAGAGGTTCCATCCCATCGTTGGTATAGATACTTTTTATATACCCGATTCTGTTTTTTTATGTGGAAAGTAGAACGATGCGCTGCATTTTGACACATACTTATTAAGGTTTAAACGTAAAAAAATATTTTTTTGATTTTTCAAAAAATTAAGTGGCTACAACAATTGGGGGTACAAATTATTTGGGAACATTTAAGTTTGTAATATTTTATGAGGCACTTATTAATCTAGAATGATTTCTCTTGGTGACTCTTCATAATACATGCTTAATTCTTTTTGTAAATGGTATCGAATAGACTCATGTACACAGTGTAGTTGAGAATCATCATTTGATTTTGGAACGAAAGGTCTCATCCATTCAGAAATATCATATATGACAATCAGGACTAACTTAAATCATCCAGACGGACAACAGAGAGTATTGTTTACATTAAAATATTAACCAATCAAAACTGTGCATGTCACAACCCCGCGACTCCCAAACTCAGCTTTTCCCGGGGTTTTGTGTTTACAACAAAATAAAGTTTGCAAATTCATTTAAAATTTTTGGAAAACTACTCATGATTTATTTAAAATGGAACTGTTGTATTAATTAAAACATAATACACCATTTTTCAAAGAATTAAGACTATTATTGGAGCACCTTGAAACTTTTAGAACAGCACAGTCATAATCTTTTAGATCTATCTAAGCCCACTCCCAAGAAGAGCGAAAAGGAAAAAAAAAATGGCGACTCTAACAAGGTCTCCACGTAGAAGACAGCAAGGGCTTAGAGAATATTTCCTCGTTGAAGGACGATACACAGGTTTTTATAATACTTTTTTTGATACTGGTGTTTGTGGATTGGTTTCTTCTAAGAAAAATGCATGATGTTTTTAATTAAAAAGTATTATAATTGAAATAATGGCATCAGTGTCATTTTTTTTGTAAACAAACATGGACCTAAATATGTATAGCCTTTTGATGTGTTAGACCCAGTCCCTGTAATACGGGGTCTATTGTTAGCCTTTAGGGTCCATGATGTAGGCTGCAACATCAAAACAGTTGGATGGGATCTGGTTTGAATTTGCATTATTTCTCATGAATATGACCCCATCAATGATCAAACTAGTTAAAAAAATTAAGCTGCCTACTTAACTGTAACATTAGTACAATTAATTAACCCTTTTCTATCAAATGCAGATACAAAGATGTAGATAACATACTTTAGAAATATTTTTTGAGGCATGATTATGAACATTTGCACACTACCCCTGTAATTCTTTCTTTTCTATTATCTTATTTAGCATCACCAAATAATTGGTTACCCCCAAGTCCTACAGTCACACCAGATGAAAGTATTATTAGACAGAGAGGTAGAAAATCAACGACACCTGTAGGACATACCAGGACTAGCCCTAGAAAGTCACCTCGAAAAAATCTTACAGTTGATTTAACACAGACTCAGTTACAATCAGGTATGTTTTGTTTCTATTGTAACAAAAAGAATAACTAAAAATATGATGAACCCATGTTACATGGTGCATGATACAGCTTTTCATTGTGAACAAGTTGTGCAAAATTGATGAGAATAAGATTCTGGTTAATATTTGTGGGTCTTATCTGATTGTTCTAGCTTGGCTTCTTTTTTACTGCTACTCCTGTTTTTACCATCCCAGGTAAAATAAATTCCAGAAGAATTAAATTACATTTTTTTTTCTTGAAGGATCAACCCCAGTCGTGAATGAAAAAGACAGCGAGACGCCTGGTCGAACATCTAATACTGCTTTACGTGGTATCCGCAAAAGACTTGTACTATCCAGTAATAAAGACATAACTGATGAGGACCTTGATGATCCTGACTACCCTGTGGTAAGATCCAACTTTTAAATGTCCCCTATATCCTCAAAAATACTTTGTAAATAAAGAGTCTAAAGGCAGTTATCCTTCCTCATAACCTCTATGAATTTATTCTGTATTTTAGACTCTGGCTTCACCACCGAAGAAGAAAAAAGAAAGAAAATCTACAGCTGGTATAAGGAATGAATTTGAAGATAAATTGAAAGCTTTAAGTCAGTCACAGATAGTTGATGTAGTATTAAAACTAGTACAAGATAATGAAGAATTAAAAACAGTGAGTATTATTTTTTCTTCCTATTTAAATAGAGATTCTTAAATTTCCACACATCTTATCAACCGACATATAAACAGAGAAAATGTCTTTACAATACTTTTTAACCTGTAAATAAAACAGCTTATGATATTTGGCAAAATGTTACATGAACATACTTGAACACCATAGTTGGATTCTAAAAGCCAAGAAAATTCCATTAGTATTCTTTCGTCCTGCAGGAATAACATCATGCTGATGCTCCGGATTCATTGATAGTGTGATGCCATATTGGAATTCCTGTAGATCATTTTTTATAGCTGAGAACTACTGAAACTAACCATAATCTTTGTTCAAACTCTGTACTCTTTGTAAACTTAATTTTGTAATTTAGATGAATTTATAAGAGATATTTTGATATTTTACTTTTCAGGAAATTTTACAAGCATTACCTGCCCCTGATATATCACCACTAATTAAGAACTTAGAATATCTACGTCGAAATATACTTAAAGCTTTACCATGGACTAAATATGGTTCTGATAGAGATGCTTTCTGCTATAGAAGATGTAAAACTCATGTGGACAGTTTTAAGGTAGGTTCTTATGTATATTAATTCACAAATGATTATGTCAGAAGAAGATATCACATCCTTTGTGATTGGGATTTACTTGAAGACAAGAGTTATTTTCCTTGTAATGAGTTATTTGCCATTTTATTCCTTCAGTCCAATCCTGTACTAAAATATTTCCTTTTATTACATTAACATTATGCATCTATTTGTAAAACAGTGTGCAATGAGGGAAAGATTGCATGGAGTTCCACCTATTTGAAATCCTAACCTATTGTATACTGAAAAAAGTTAACTAAGCATCCATGAGATATAAGAAAATAACTTGTCGAATCCTAAGCACCTCATGCTTCTCAAGGTGGTATAAAATCAGGATACATGCTTACTTGTTATGCACCACATGCAGCTTTGTTTTGAATTTTGTATTGTTATTTAATGTAATCACAACAATTTTGATTTTAATTACATCTCGATATTTTTTATTCCAGTCTGCCTGTGTGAGCCAGGGTAAGAATCTAGCAGCTCATTCCTGGAATGCTGCTATGGATTATATAAGACAAGCATGGGATGAAGTGTCAGAGACACCAGATTGGATGAATGAATCTCACTGTAAATCAAAACAAGCTTGTTATAAATCATTAGCTGTTCTTGCTAAACAAGCTATTAAAGGAAGTACATTAGAAAAAAATCAATATGAAGATTTCAAAGAATGGTAAGCTGGTTCCGTCCTAAATCTAATTAGATTTGATTACAACTGTTTTTTTTTTCTGTTTGTTTTTTTTTGTTGACAATTTTTGTCTCCATTGTAATCTAACAAGTTATATACCACAGTCCCATTCTAATAAATTAAACCAATGAAAGCATGTTATGTAGAATATGCTTCTTGTTAACATAAATTGAGATAGAGCAACATTAAGTAGGACAATAGGACCTCTTCTTTGAATGTCGATATCTCACATTCTTCATTGTTTTTCAAGGTATGGGTCCTACATAGGGCATACTTTGTTTGGTGAAGATAAATATCAGAACTGGATTGTAGTAGGAAAATTGTTAGATAAAACTTCAGACGAAAAAGAATTTGTCCTATCTCTGACATACTGTTATATGTTACGAATTGATACAAAGTGCATTTTGGGCTAATGAAAACAGTTCAAAACAGTATTTAATGAGCTGGTGTTATATTCTGAAGGCATTGTCAATTGATGATGTGGAATCCCAGACCTGTTTATGAGAAAAAAACAGGAATATGCGTCATTGTTTCTTAACTTGCAAAATATTTCAAGCTCCAAAAAGATGTTACTTTTCTTATAAGAAGATACATTTAAATGCAGGAAATACTGATTTTACTTATATTATTTATTTTCTTTTAACTAGGCTACAGGAAGTTAGTGAGTTTCATCCAGAAGTGAAGCCCTGTATACCATTGGTAGAAAAAAGAATACAAAAATAACTATGTACCCATTCATTACTCCTGGGCTTTTATTCTAAAAATCTTATCTTTAATGGCCTTGAAAATGGTTGATTTCACAGTCCTGAAATGAATTTGGATTTAATAAAATGTGTTTGTCTTCAAAGATAAAGACCTCGAAATGCTATTGGACACCAAGCAAAACCAAAAGCTGCCTTATTGTTATATAAATCGTTAATATGTTATGAATTTAGAGTAGTTTTTATTAGTATTAGTTTTACTCAGCATGACTTAACATTCAGTATGAATACTAGTAAGTCTTTTTTTTTATCCAAAAGTATACCAGATTTTCAGAGAGATTCTAAGAATATATAGTGTATTTCAAATATGTATTGTTTTAATTTGTACCAGAAACACTTAACCATTATTATCACTCCATCAAATCCATGTAATAAAGGTATTTTGGTCAAGATTTTCTAGAATTCTCTGGGAATGCATCTTCACAATGTCATTTTATTATAACTTCATACTTTGACTGCGATAGTCACCTTCCTTGGATCGTGGAAGTTTGTAAATAAAGAGATTTGATTGGATTGTCCGCATGTGAATACAGCTAACCAGAGGCCTTTACAGAAAGTCTGAACACAAAGCCTTTCTGTAAAGGGCTCTGTTTTTCTGTTTTTCTGCATTCACTACCATACAATCTAATCAAATCGCTGCCTTAGTACAAGAATAGTGGCTATTGCAGTCAAGGTAAAAGTACAAAATATGTAAAACCTTGGACTGTTAAAATGGTATATGAAATATGAACCAATATTTTTGTGTCATTAATTGTGAATTCTGTATTTTTGTTGAGAATTCATTGTTTCTACATATTTTGTTAATATATATAAAATAATATTTTGCTGTGAAAGTGACATGATTCAAAAACCTATCACATTAATTTGATATCTGACAAAATTTGTTATCATTTACCAGTATGGTCACTTAATTGTATATACTTGGTAGCCAAGTTTACCTTTACTGCAACTTGTTGACAATTTCATATGATTATAGTGGAATAAAGATAGTTTTTATTATCTTTGCTTATCTTGGTACTGGTATTTAAACATAACCAGTCTATTTCAATTTAAGGGTATAAAAGGTAAAGCATTTTGAGGGTTTGACTAAAATCAATTTATTTTTCAAAAATCTTTGGACTTCACCAAATAAGCCAAAATATTTTTGCTTGCCTATGTTGAACGATTCCTGTTTATTCATAACATGTGAAATTGGTCTTGTTCTCTCAAAAATTATGTTTACTATTGATAGTTATTTGAAATATTAGCTTAGAATGTTACATTAGAATTTATGACAGTCTGATTCTTAAAATGAACATTACAAAAAATTAAAAATTATTTCATTTACTATTGGTTACTTTACTCATACTAGGAATATATCTAGAATGACTGAAATAACCCACAGAGTGTAAATAAAACACAATATTAAGATGTGTTTAGATAATTTCATGAATTGTTTTGTTAGTTTTTTCATTGAATTGAATATTTCTTGTGATTTGAAATGTACAGTCTATTTTCCATAGATTGAGAATTTTGAAATGTAATCAAATTGTCTTTTGAAGAATAAAATGTCAACTTTTATGAAGTATTAAATTTGATAAGTATAAAATTGTTATATGTTAATGTATTTAGCTGATTTTCACATCTTATACGTCAAGGGTATTCAGTAGGCAGAAATGGGTCTATCAGGTATATGTACACTCTTAATATTTAAACAGGAGAACTGTCTGATGTATGTACACTTCGAGAACTGCTGTTAAGTGTATGTTCACACCTAATAATAACAGGGACCTGTCTTGGGTGTATGTACACTCCCTATGTTAACAGTCGAACTGTCTGGGTGAATATTCACTTCTAAATTTTACAGAACTGTCTGGTGCATGTATACTTGTAATGTTAACAGAGAACTGCCACAGTGAAAGTACAGTACTAATAGTAACAGGAGAACTGTTGTCAAGATATAGTACACTGTTTGGGTGTATGTACACTTCATGATTAAGTGGACATGAGATATTCTACTCTTAGTCACAAGTGGAGCAAGCGCAAGTGAATCAGAAAGGAACTGATCTACTGTTTTAAGGTTCCCCTTAAATGAACAAATTTCTAAAGAATTATATCTAACATAATAGTTTATTCTGTAACAAATGTAAAATATACTTCATAACAATTTAAAATAATAGGGGCAGTTAAAACTGAGAAATCTGGTCTGAGACATATGTCAATCAACTGTATCATGTTTAAATCTTCCATAAAAACATCACCGCAACTGCAATGAATGAAATTATCGATCTAATATACTACATAAACTTGTGCAGCTATTATTTTAGAATTTTGATTCAAAATTTTGGATGGAAGTTTGCATATCACAGTAAAAGAAAAGAATAAATAACGTGAATAATTTGTTTTTTAAAAAGCATCGAGTTAAGACATCTATTTGATGTCACACAAGGCAGCCACTCCTCTTAAAATCCAATGATCAGGATTTTGGTTGGTTTTCATCACAATAAATGTGATATAGGTCAGATCTGTTCTGTTTGGCTTCTTATAAACAGGACACAAATAGAGCCTTGGATCTTTAGGAGATGTAGAGTTGATGGCAAACATATGTACAACTGGTACAGCTGTGAATAAAACTTTGGCTGGTGGTTCACACAATCGGCAGTTACGTCTATCCCATCCAGCACCATCCAAATATAATCCATGTATATAAACCCCTTCCTGTCAAATTTATATAATACTTTTTATAACATGCTATAACAATGATTGAGAAATGTTGATAGTGAGTCGCATTGGTGTCAGCTAAAGCAAAAAGAACAATTTGAATTTACCCCTCATGAAGTCAAGGAAAATTCGTTATTCATGCTTTTAAAGTCTGCTTGTAGTTGGTACTCCAATACATCTGCCACTGATAATTACTCATTATAAATTGTGTCTGCAATACATGGACACTTTAACTATCTTCAGAACTCAAATAGTGTGTTTATTCCCATCCAAGTTTTAAACACATTTCATTTGCTCTCAATTGTAAATAGAATATTATGCAAAAGTCTGTCACTAATTGGGTTTCTTAAAATAAAAGAGAACTTACAGCAGGTGGTCCAGTTATGTCTTCTTTAAAAGTTTTCATTACATCATTATGTAGTGTAACTGAATCTAAAGCCCAACCTTTGTGAGCTCTTGTAACTTCTTGTCTCATAGCAGTAAGGAAACCTGAAATACAGTTCCATGTCCAATGTCAAAATGGATTTAAGTCATTAAAATCAAACATAACTATTTCAAGACCATCTTAGACCTAAGAGGCTGTTGGATTCATCAGTTTCAGAGTAAAGCTGTGATTACATGTTTAAACAAAATCTCAAACATAAACTCAATAGAACACGGACCAGAGAAAATCCTCAGCAAATCCCAATTTTCTACTTATATGTATCCTTAACTTTAAAATCTCTGTAAGCGAAACGGATGGCTAAGTGAATGAATTTTTCACAGTTTGGGACAGCTTCTAGGGCTGGCTCGGTGTCAAATGGGGGGAATCCACTTTATGACGTCATTACTATGGGGGATTTTACTATCCTCCTTTGTTTCCTGATCCTATACCACACAAAGGTAAGGACACTTAGAAGCACATTATCAGTTTGTGTTACACTTACAGACAGATGTAATCACAGCTTAGGAGACAAAACAATACCTTGAGGATTAAAGAGTCCTGTCATCCAGAATACATCTGGTCTGCCAACAAATATCCAAGCACTGAACTGTTCATTCCTCTCTAATAATTCAGTAAACCAGAAACCAATAGTTGAAGACTGCCAGGATATCTTACGCCATAGATTTGGTACTCTGGCATCGAACATGTTGTCTAAAGCATCTCGTAAATTCTAAAAACAAAATATGAACATTTTTAAGATCATTAGGCTAGTATTTTTTGTTAATCATAAGAAAATACAAAGGTGCAAAAACATGATAAGAATAATAAAATTTGTATATAGTATTGATGTATTGAGCACTATTTTAACAGTGAAAATAGTTTATTACTGTAGTATAGACCCTATATATATAAGCTTGGTAAAAAGATCTCTATGTTTAATTTATTTCAGATTTTGTTTATTTGCTACTGTTGAAAATCCAAACACCAAACTCATCCAAGATCTCATCAATATTCATAATATGATCAAAACTATTTTTTGCTTTCTCAAGGGAATGGGAACAGAGGGACAGACAGTGGCAATATATAGCGATATTTCTCTTTCTCGGACCTATTATCGGAAGCCCACACATTATTAAGATTCTGGACATCCAAGTCTTAAAAGAATCCAACACACACCTCACTCATAATAATAGTACCATCAATAGCTAATTGTAAATCAGATAAAGTAGCTCTAACTACACCAATAACTTTCTGCATTCTATCTATTTCTTGTCGTAAGAAAATATTTAATGGTTGTAGTAGGCCCATCCTCTTTAGTCTATCTTTAACCTGTAATGAAATACATGGAGTTTTACATCCTCTAACTAAATCTAAATCATGTGGGTACACCTGCCTAATGTAGATCAACTTATTTCATGGGTAAATATGCATTTCATGTAGATCAAAATGAGGGTTCATCAATTTACCTCACATGCATGAACCTACACAATATGAACCAATTTGAGAATTGTTAACCAATTTAATTCATATGATTATTGATGTGTGTTACAACAGTATGTTGATGAGTGTGTGGTACAACAGTATGTTGATGAGTGTGTGGTATGACAGTATGTTGATGAGTGTGTGGTATGGCAGTATGTTGATGAGTGTGTGGTACATCAGGATGTTGATGAGTGTGTGGTACAACAGATTGGTGATGAGTGTGTGGTATGACAGGATGTTGATGAGTGTGTGGTATGACAGTATGTTGATGAGTGTGTGGTACAACAGATTGGTGATGAGTGTGTGGTATTGTTTTGTTGAGGTTTCCATCCTAGATGGATTTGGATTGTTCTTATAATCAAAACTAGAATCTAAGTTTCAGCCATGCTTTATTCAATCTCTAAGCTCTTACATCATGCCTTCAACTCACAAAAGTACATATCCTGTCACATGACAAACAACTACCTTAAGAGCAGACAACTCTGTTTTACTGAGCAGGAAAATATGGGAGATAACTCTTACTTAACAATGATTTTTAAGACCACAATATGAACTAATGATATCAATATGACAGTATGACAGTATGTTGATGAGTGTGTGGTACAACAGGATGTTAATGAGTGTGTGGTATGACAGTATGTTGATGAGTGTGTGGTATGATAGTATGTTGATGAGTGTGTGGTACAACAGGATGTTGATGAGTGTGTGGTACAACAGTATGTTGATGAGTGTGTGGTATGACAGTATGTCGATGAGTACTGTGTGGTACAACAGGATGTTGATGAGTGTGTGGTACAACAGGTTGTTAATGAGTATCTAGGAATATGAGGCTTGATGTTGTGAGGTCTTATTGACTGGAGTATTACATTCAAATAAACACATAAACCTACACCATATGGACCAATTTGGGATTTGTTGATTAATTTAGATGATGTGGATCAACCTACCTCATGTGGTTTATAATCTGCTGGAAGTTTATCTAACATATCAGTTGCCATTTTGTAAACAGTGGCTTCTCTAGATTCCCCACCTCCTCCACCAGCATCTTTAGGTTGTATACTCATAATAGTTTCTAATACAGAGTTGGCAAGATTAGTTTGGTATCTAAAAGCCAAATGAAAATATTAAAGAGAATTGCAAAGATGATCGATCAATTTAAATCTAGTTTTAAAACAGATTACTGTAAAATAATGTAATGGATTTTATTTTTAAGAGAGAACAAGGTTCCAGCAATTTAAGTGCAAGTTGAAGTTTAACTGATGGTTTGCTTCAATGATGTTTGCAAGTCAAATATATTTAACAACTGTATTTTACTGCTGTATCTAAGCTTGAAGCTACTAGACAGAAGAATTAAAACATACGTTATGTCAGCATTAGGATGAAGACCAAAAGCTTCTGGTGAATCAACAAGTTGCATATTCTCTATATAATTCATGTACTCCTCTACGGTACGACATTTAGGTATTTTATAACCGATGTAAAACTGGAAGTTATCAACAAACATAAACTCTCCAAACCACACCTAAAATATAAAGTTAATCATTTACATCAAGGAATTGCAGTTCTAGATCATAGGTAATCTTCATCCTTATATGAACTGAAAAAAAGTTCATATTTTCATTTTCCATTTATCAATAGATAGCCATACATGTTGTCCACCGCTCTATTGACAGAATGCCCAATTCTACCGATTTTTTGTTTTGTAAAAAATTGTAGCATTCGAAGCCAGTTGCCACAGGTCCTTTCTGTTTTAACTCATCCAAAGCACCTACATGTGTCCACATGTGTAAGAATTCCCAAAAAGGCCAAAAACCTTTTTTCATGATGAGACATCAAATCTGGATCATTTTGTATCTGGAGTTGTCCACATCAACAATATTCAAGAAATGTTTTTTGAGTTAAAGTTATAATATGACTGATACGTACCCTAGAAAATGTATTGAGTAATCTTTTATCATAATCATCTGTAACACGACCACCATATTGTACTTCACCTAACATATATCGTAATGTTGTCCATGATATACCCTAAAACAATTTATTATACCAGTAATTAAACGTCGTCAGCTGGCATCTAGAAGTCTTTTTAACATAAAATGACATGGAATTTTACAATATTTTCTGCACCTTATTGGGCTAATGAAAATGAATAATGCCATGCAGTGTGCAATGAAGTAAGTGGTGCCAAGACAGATCCAAAAGCCGTTTCTTTTCAATCTAAAACAACCTGAAACACAAACTTTAGCATGCAAGTGTCACCATCTCAGCCTTTTCAATACAGTAATAAGAATACATGATGAAAGAACATAAACATTTTGTGTTTTCATAAACAAAGGGGAACCATAAAATCTTACCTTTTTAAGATCCAGATCATCTAAATGATTCTGTACAAACTGAACACTAGCTGTCCAATCAGAACTATTAAATTCATATGGTATATTCCATCCTAGAGGTCCAAATTTACGTCTTTCCTACAAAAAAAAAAACGGACAAAAATATCTCACAAAATCATAAACCATATCAGAAAGAAATAACTTCCACAACAAATATGACAAAATCTGGCAAAAATACCAAGTCAAATTTCAAACTTACCATTACTTATTGATAATAGTAAAGTTACCTGTACAACTGTATGAAGAAATGATACTCCAAACAACAGTGGTTTCCATTGAGACATACTAGAGATATCTAGAAAATCTTGTGTTATACCAGCATAGGTTCTCTTTAAACCAGCTTTTATACCTTGTGGTGGTTCATTGGTAAACTTGATGGAGCTCTGAATAGAAAGTATAGATATAGGTCATTGGGTGGATTAATTCTTCTTATAGCTACTTATCCTTAGATTTCGTTTAAAAACAGTCAAATCTGTTCTGGAAAACACATTTAGTTATTAAGACATTATGATAAAATGCTTCCCCTTATGCTTTAAGATTTATCTTTTAAAGATTCCTGACAATTGAAAATTTAAAAGACTACATATTGTTACTAAAGCTAGTCTGGTAATAATATTTCTCTCATTGTACACAGCACTATGTAGCCAATTTTCAATAGGATCTCCATCTCTAATCTTATCTGATTCAACATACTTTTCACAAGAGAGAGAAGTAGTCAACTATTTGAATTGGGTTCAGAAATTAATTTGAGCTGAAAATAAATTGTTACCTGTAGAAGACTAATTGGGAATCCTGGATGAGGTTCTGTTGTTATCCATACTCGGAAATCATCATGCATTGTAGGGGTGTCTATCAGAGTCTCTAATAATTCATCCATAAAGTTTAATCCTAAATGACAATTCTGTAACATTGCCCAGCCTCCCTGGAAATATCATTTAGAATAATAATTATTTTACAATACTGGTCCTGGCCACGTATTCTCAAAACGATCTTAGCACTAGGATGTCCTTCTTATCTTCTAACATTGGTTCTAGGATATCCTAGCGCTAAGATCGTTTCGAGAATACATTACCAGGTCCTGAATTCACCACTAGTGCCACTCTACAGGACAAATTAATTATGAGATATTTTCCGAAGAGACCTGTCACATCTAAGTCAGCTTCAATTTGACAAGAATGAGGTCACCTTCACACTTTAAGCCACCATTTCAATTGCTTCTCAATTCAGAAAGATTTGTCTACGATGTTACAATTTAAACTACTTGAAACAGCTATTTTGATTGGCTGAAATAATCATGTCATTGTTTTTCATTATTTTCAATTAATGAGCAGGTCTATTTATTGGTGGGAATTACATCCACTTATCATATTAACTTTTCTAGACTGTTTCTAGACAAAACATAACAGAATGCTTACTGTTTGCATAAGTTGACCAATCAATTTTCTAGCATGAACTTCTTGACCTTGTCCCATAGAGATAGCTCGGAATTCTGTAATACAAATAACATGTTTTAAAACATCGGACAACTAAATATTACTATCATGAAAACCATCAACTCACTTCATTTCAGCCTTCAAGTTGTTTCAGTTTTAAGTACAACTATGTCTTTGTTGGTAAACAGGCCTTGCTTAGCTAGCAGCACTGCCAAAGTTATTACAGACAATATTTGTGCTACAAGACTTACCAAGATGAAGTTTTTTAGCCAATGATTCTATCTGATTGGTAGGATCTGATCCCATGGACAATAAACAGATTAAAGGTATTCTAGCAACACTCTCTTGATGAGTCAACTCAAGATTTAATATCACAGCATCAGCATATTTCTCTCCTAATGAACTGGCTACATACGTTCTAGCTTGAGCTATAGTTCGATCTGGAGCCCATGATCTAAAAATCAGAGACAATAGATATGAAAGAATATGCCTGACACTAAATTCTACAGGCCAAGAAACCTAATCCTATTCTATTATCCTTACTTAACAAAACTTAATCCACAGCAGACAGTTTTATATTTTAATATTAAGGAAAAGTATAAACAGCTTAAGATAGATAACAAACCGTTATCAAATGGTATTGATAAAGATACTCATACACCTACAAAAGAGAAGGTTGCTATAAGAAACTTCTTCAGAACAGATACTTTCATTGATCATTACAAACTTAATTAGGAGTAAGCATAACAAACCTGATCAAGAGAAGTTTTCTATAAGGATCTAATGAAGAACTGTATCCATCTGGTATTTGTTCTTCTTCTGGTGCTTCACTATCAAACCAGACTCTCCATCCTTTCTCATTACGTGGTACCTACAAATATATGTTTCAAATATATACATACTAAGGAATGATATCGTTTATCATAAGCCATGGTTGTTGGTGGTGCTACAGCGCGTAATCCACATGGGGAATTATATCTGAGTCACTGCCTCAAAGACACAAAACTAATCATGTTGTGTTCCCACAACAGACACGTCATCAGCTTCCTGAATAGATTGACATTAAAATTCTGGAATATGTTTTCTATCCTTACCTGATTTAATATCTCTGAGAATTGTGATAGTGAACTGAGTTGTACTAAATTCAACCAAGTGATGTCAGAAATCCATTTACATGGTTTAGGCGTAACAGCATTTAAATCCAGAGCAGCACCACCTATAAACAAACATCAACTATCATATATACATAGAGCAGACACAGCTTATAGTTATATTGTTTATTTGATTTATTTGCTCAAAAGCCATTGTGGATAATTGTGGATTCAAAAATCACTAACTTTAATAATATATTCATGTGTTTTTGATTTCTGATGATTTGCAAGTAATGGGCACAATTGACTCTCAACAGTGAAAAGATTCTTATTGTCAACAACATTACTCTCAGCTTCTAAATAACCTACCTTTGATAAAGATCTGGAATTCTTCATTCTTTACTTTGCCTTGTTGCATATCAATTTTAAGGGCCATGAGAAGTGTAAATAAGAATTTATGAACCTCATACAATCCACGGCAAGAATATCTAAAACTTTCATATGTCAGATATTCTATGATGTTGGCAATACGTTTCGCTGGTACTGGACTCTTATCAGATCTAATAATAGATATCACAATATCATAAACAATTAATTCATTAGTCACTGAATTATAAGTTTACAATGTGCTTGTAACAAACTTAACATATGACCTTTATGGATGGTGTCGAAGATTTGAATTACTGGTAATATAATTCAATGATATCAATGACATATACCTTATTAACAATCATTGGAATTAGATGACCTTATTTCGCTTGATCTAGATATAAATGCACTTGGATGCAAGGAATCATATATGCAAAGAAGGGAATTAATATGTGGCCTAAACCACAGAAGATGTTTTTTCCACATTGATCTTATTGAGTTTAGTTCTTACCTTGCCATGGATATATCAAAGATACCCAAGAATTGATTTAAAGAAGTTTGGTACATTCTGTCGACCATACTCATATCACACATCAAGAAATATAGAATACTTCCTCTATTAGCCACTACAATAACAATATAGTTGGTCAAAAAAATTCCTTTGATAATTCAGCTATTTTGATTAAGTGAAACAGGGTATCATCTATCTATTGATAAGATGGCTTGGTTTAAACAACAATTATTTTAAACCTAAAGCTTTGGTTTCAAGCTGTACTGATGATAAGACCTTACATCTGAAATTATTCCAAATCTTATACTATTAGAAAAGCCACCGATGTTTTTCCTTCCTGAACACCTAATGTCACAATGCTATTGAGTTTGTCATCAATATACTATGTTACTATAGTTACCTGGTCTAAATTCTTCTCTAGCTTCGTTAATTTTAATCTCAGTATCAGCAGCTACTGTTAATTTCTCACTGACTTCTGCTGCTGTTACTTTAGTTGTTGATAGTACTTGTATTAAAGATTCATCATCTACTAGAGAACCCTGGAAAGTACAAGGACTATTTCATTTCAATTTTTGTGAGTTTTACTTTTTATGTAATTTATTAGGCTCATGAGCTCAACCCTATGCAGTGTGCAATTGGAAAAAATTGATCACAAGAGTGGCACCAACTACTGTTTATCTTCATGTAAGGTTTATAGTACAAGGTATTACTTTAGTTTTTTATCTAGCAGTATCATCTTCACAATGTCAAGCTATTACCAACTTCATCTTATACCTTGACTGGATTAGTCACCTTTCTTGTATCACAGAATGAAGTAATTTGATTGGATTGTACAAAAACAAATACAGTCAATCAGAGCCCCAACAGAAAGACTGTTAATATTATGGCTGATTGGTTGTATTCAAAAGCGTATAATCCAACCAAATTGACCAACTTCTGTGATATAAGAAAGGTGGCTAATGCAGTCAAGGTATAAGACGAAGCTCATAATACATTGACATTTGTGAAGATGTAGCAATACAGAAACAAATACTTAAAGATCTTTCTCACACTGAAGTTAGATAATAAGAGAAAACATACAAACCTTAGTACTGGTCAGTTTGTACAATAGATTGTCTTCCAATTCTTGCATTTTACGTTTATTAGCTGTCACATCAATTAATAACTTGGCTCTTTCAGCCTCCAATTCCTAAATAAATAAAACAAGATTGATGTAAATCATATTGAAAGTTATGATGAAATGAAATGAAATAGAACTATTTTGTATTTGGGGCAAGTGACAACAGACAATACCATACACCATGCAATGAGCGTAATAATTAATCATTTTTAAAATGCTATGTATGATACAAAAGGGTTTTAAATACCATTCAAATGAGTTCTATAAGGGTTTCTCCAACAATGGCTAAAATTTGTTGGCACAGATAACAAACAGAATTTTAAGTATTTCTAACTTATTTTCTATGGAGAAGTTCTCCAGGAGAACATAGGTTAAAAGAAACAGTATACCGGTACTTACATTTTTCTCAGTCATAATGACCCGACCTAACAACTGATCTTCTAAACCTTTCATTGTGACAGTAAAATCTATGATAGAGGTCTTGGCGCTAACCTAAAAAATAATGAGTGTATTTCAATTATCTATGGCTAGTTAATATCAGTAAAATAATATCTATATGGCATCTATTTTGATCATTCACAATATTAGCTCTATCTGTCATTGCAAGGTAGAAATAGAATTCACAAGTGTTGTGTCATTCACTTGCAACTTACAGCCATTTACATCCTTCGACATACTTGTACAGAACATTTAAAAATAGTCTCCATTTTACACATTTCAAATAGGCTGATAATAACAAATATACCAAATAAACAATATCTGCTACAAGGACTCTGAAAGAGATGCCTAGTTGATCAAATGCTAGATTGAATAAATGAACTAAGAAAGCATACCTCTGGTGTATAAGATGGATTAGGTAATTTAGTTGTTATATATAAATAGAATCCTTTCATCACATCACATTCTTTATCTCCTACTTTCACCTATAATTTAAACAAATAACAACTTTACTTTTACTTTTCATTATGTCAGGAAGAGTTATTGCCCTTCTGATACAGGCAGATGCCTTAAATAATCAGATGAAACATTTATATACCCAATAATATCTGAATAAGTTAAACACGTAAGCTATGGCCTATACAAGTAGGCAATTACATCACCTAGAATTCAATCTTTAGCTTGTTGAAAAATACATCATAGCTTTAGATAATTGTAAACATTTCTAAAAACTGTGGAACTTTTCAAATTCCTTACCTTGCTATGAATAGATCAGAAGATCAGAGCCTTGACTAATATGCTCAAAATGAGTGAATGATATATTACCTTATAAGTAGAGCCAGATTTAATAAAGTTTTTCTCCAGGACATTATCCAGAGCTGGATCTAGATCTTCTTCAACATCTTCTATCAATAAAGGTCTTCCTAGAGATAAACTATCTTCTAGATGGGTACGGAAATATTTATGATTTAAAGAAGTCAACTAAAATAAGAACGGCAATCATTGAAAATATTTCAAATTGTATATTTAGTGAAAAAGTGAATAAACAAAATTTGTTCTTTTCCCATCATCATTTTTCCCTCTTCCCAATAAAATGCCCTGGGTTAAAAAAAAAACAAACCCCAGAACAGATGCCACGTCAAGTGCTGTTGAGAGTCGGCCACTATCACTTGATTCAACTTGACATACTACTCTCTTTTATATTACATGTTCTTTCAAACATCTACAACTACTGACCAGTGCTTTCAATATATCTGAACACTTTTAAAAGTCAAATCATTAACACAATGTCTAGTAAAAGAGAATGAGCTCTGGTAAGAAAGAGGACCATAGATCCAGTTCTGTTTCTTTATATTTTCTAGAAGCACCATTGTAAAGTTAAGAGCACTGATAAGAAACAATGTAACTGTACATCATTTCTCAAATTACTGCCTTAAAAAGCTAAAAAAAAAAAACATTGCTGCAGGTTACAACCTATTGAAATTTTTGAACTCTGACAGACACCCACCTGGAAATCATTTTCTTTTTCTCTATTTTTAATCCAAGATTTGCCCTGACCCTGAGGATCTATAAGTAATGGAAACCTGGTAGCTTTAGTTGTTATAATACCATTCTGTATTGATAAATCATCATTAGGTAAACCTTGTATATTCCATTCACCAATCTAAAATTACAACATTCAACATATATATTACTTTACTATTACTATTGATTAGAATTCCTCCATGCTTTAGATGTTTCAGATATAAATCCTGTTCAGGATGCTATTTTGGAAATATTCACTCAATTTCACTAAAGCGATCAAAATTTTCAGCACTCACTCCGAATATTATTAAAATCTGATCAAAATAGTAGTACTATTGTGTTGTCAAGCAAAAGTGAATGAATTGAGACCAGCTTATTCTATATTGGTGTATATTTAATACTTACTGTAGCATTATCAACCAACATGGTAGTTGTATTCAGATTTTTAGTAAATGGTATTTTTCTGGCAGACATTTCATTTTGCCAATTTTTTTGTAATTTAAGTCTGTATTCTTGATTAAATGGTCCAGAATAAGATAAAAATCCAGTACAAAGTAAGACATCACCAACCAATCTAAAATATCAAGATATTTATATCAAATGCATTATGTTATGGGGGCACGTTTGCCATCCATTCGAGACTTAGTCTCGGAAAGAGGAATTTTTTAGCTAAGCTAATCAGTAACAGTATTCACATCACACAGTTAAAATTTGAGCTTTCAAATCTATGTATGAGAATTATCTGCGATTGAAAGTTAAAATGACGACTCGTCTTTTCTTGATACATCATTTATAGAAAAGACATAAAGCTTATATATATATTGAAGTATATTTGAAGGGATTATGCGATTTTTTGAAGATTATATACATATATTCAAGACTAAAATAAACAAACCCTCGATAATAGCCTTTAACAAAACATAGACATACTGTTTCTGTCTATGAACTTTAAAACTAATGTTGTCTTCAATATTAGTTATTCACGTAACTTGTAGCATGGACACGGAAATATAGTAGTAACTTTTTATCAAATACTAACCTCTCTATTTGTGACTTGAATTCTTTACTTTGAGCTGTCCATCTTACTTTCTCTCCAGAAAGTCCTCCAATCAAAGCTGAAGCAGCAATCATTCTTCTTCGACATGACTCAGCATCATCCATTAATTCCTACAGATATCAAAAACAAAACCTAAGTTAACCATGGAGGCAGTTGAAATTGTTCATACCAATTTGTATAGGTTCAGTGTTGTGGACTATTTAGGTTTAGTTGTATCAGGGACACTTACAGACATTTGTATTTCTTTCCCTTCTTTAGCAATTATGTTTTATTTCAAATATCAGAATTTTGAAACATAAAACAAGAAATGGTGCATATAACATCAATAATTGTGCCAATTCGAATAACAAAAAAAAAGAGACTAAATTAAGTTCAATGACTACATTTTCAAGCAGAAAAGATGAAACATTGTCTCCTAGCATACCTGTTTTTCTTTCATAGCTGCATCAAACTTAGCTTGTACAACATCCAGCTCTCTCTGTTTCTCATCTAGTTGTTCTTGAGCAGCATTCAATTCTCTAGTAGCTACTCCTAATCTAGCTTCCTGGGCAACTAAATTAGCCTAAAACAGAAACAAATAAATTCCATAGTGATGCAAAATATAAGACACTGCGAGTTAATTTCATTTGCATTTCTCCAACACACTCTCAGCTTAATACTTCTAAACATAACTAAGATCCAACACTATTGGTATCAGTATTTCACTTATTGCATTGAAGAACTGTATTTTTTTTGAATGTTCAGAAACCAAACAGCAACAATGAATTTCAAAATTTCAAAACGATAGTAAACAATTCTGATTTCCTGCAAATCAGTCCAAAAAGGTGCCTGGTGAATTTTTGTAAGCTTATGTTGATAAACAATAACAACAACATACATTATTTTATGTGGATGTACCATAAAAACAGTGGATCTTTACCTTCAGTGGCAGTACTTCTTTGTTAATGCCAAAAAACACTGACATGGCAACAGTCCATGACAACAGACCAGCAACATTACCACAGGCTTTTTTAGCTGTTTCCATGTTATAATCATCCATATCTAGGTAGGGTTTTAATAATTCAACAGTTTCCTCATTAATGGTATCTTTAGAAAATGTTTGAAGATTATGTAGAAAACTGGAATTACTCATTAACTGAAAACCAAAAATATACTTCAGTCTATTACTTGGATACTGTGTCATAATGTAATAACAATCATGATCTGTAATAATATTGTGGTCTTAATATATCAAGTCTGTATTAAAAGACTCTGTATTGAGACACCTGAATAAAGAAGGTGCTGGTAGTCAGAATTTCTGAATCACAGTTTTGTCTGAATAAAAGCCATCCTGGGAAACATAGTCCCCAACAGACAATGCATGTTATCATTTGGAGATGTGAAACCATTAAATTCTTTTGGGTATTATCATGTCTGGAGCAGTTATTTACATAATAAACTCAGTTCTCAATGCACACCAATGATGCCTATTATTCAACAGGAAATGACATTATATTAATCAGCTTGGATAGGGACTACATGTCAGGGAAATTCCAGTGACACCTTAAGGTAAAAAATAGAGGACTCATGAGATTAAATGGGTGTTAAGTTTTAATTTTTGTGGTAAATCTATTGAAAAATAATGAAAGATCTTTAATTTTTGACTGTCAGTGATGCAGGTACGAGGGGCTGACATGGAAAAAGCGTCTAGTCGTTCGGATGGGACAATAAACCGAGGCCCCGTGTGCTACAGGCTGTGCACGTTAAAGATCCCTCGACAGTTGGAAATCGAAAAAGAGCAGGCTAATGCTGCTGTCCTGCCAAAATTTCCCTCATTGCACCCTGCATGGCGTTGCCCGTCTTCATTAGCCCACATGGTGCAGAAAAGTAGGACGTAAAACTCCAATCATTTCATTTAATTTTTAATTTTTGAAATCTGATACCAAAATATGACATTCCATGTGAATTTCCATATAATTTGTGACCCTGCTTACCTTCAATGATTCACTCCATGATGGTTTTGGGCAAGCTCTTTCAGGGTCTTGCTGCATGGGTTCTAATTTCTTTTGGAAGAGTATTAATACTGAATCCATAATTCTCATAATCAAATGTGGTGGTTTCCCTAATTTCTTTACTGTAGAAATATCACCAGGTTTAATAGTCTACAAAAAATAAATGGTTTGCAGCAGTCAGCAACACTTCCTTTACTTTCTTTCATTTATTTTATATTCAAGATTTTAAAAAATTCAAACATGATTGCTCACAGCTTCAGTCTCAATGTCATATCTGAATATTCATTAAAGGTTTTTCACATTGTAATATCTTGGTTTGACAATATTGTGGTCTTATGATATCAAGTCTGCATTAAGAGTTATCTCTCTTGAGAGAGTGGATGACCGCCTGAATAAAGTCATAAAATTAAATATATGCAGCTCTGTATTAAGGATATGTAAGAACTAGATAGGAGAGAACTCTAACAAGTTAAACTGGCTTCACGACAAGAGTAAATCTTGTGCTATGGCCAGTGATTGGTACAGTATGAGCCATCAAGTACCTGTAGAGCCATTTCAGCTTCTTTGAGAGCAGGTTTAGCAGCCTCTAGTTTACCCTCAGCAACTGCTTTCACATCTGCAATTTCATTGACTACTTTCTGGGCTCTATCCTTCACTTTCTGTACAGAAGCTTTAACTTTCTCAGCAGCCTGTGCACTAACTGTTACCTCAGCTAATACCTGAAATATTGATTTTTGAAGCATAATCATAATATAGCACACCTATTACATATTCATTATTAAAAACTTACTGAACTAAAGACAGAACTCCCAGGGATAATTCAATAAAATGAGAATTTTACACTCAAATCAACAGCACTGAGATAACACCATATCGTGGGTGACCGCTTGCAAACCTCGTATATGCCATATTTGATCATTTTGACTTTTTGGTACCGTTCGAATGCTCGTAAAAGCGCAGATCTTGTGATCAAATCCTCCTATTCTTAGCTTGATTTTAAATAACTCAAAAAGCGCTAATTAAATAACAAGTATATAAACAGTCAGATTTAAAACTGAATGTTCCTTTTCTGCGTATGAAGATGAAAAACCTTGTATACTGTATTATTATACGAGTTTTTGGTTCAATAGGCCTGTGATCTCGAATTGTTATACAAGGTTTATATTTTCCAAGAATGAAAACCACATATAGCGGTTAAAAAAATAATAAAAAAGATTTTAACAAAATACGAGTACAAATAGTTTTTTGCGTTTTTCTCGAAAAGTAATTCCGCGTCAGATATCGTTATACGAGGTTTCAAGCAGTCACCCACGATATGATATTTTGTTTTTGAGTTAGCGAATACCATCTTAAATAAGCTCATAAATAAAATATAAGCTTACCTTATCAGCTTTTTTATTGGCAACTTCTAAATCAACTTCTTTAACAGCTAGTTCTTTAGAGAGTTGATCTACCGATATAGTAGCTTCTATCAATTTATCTAACCCTGTATTCATACGACCAGCTAGATCACCAATAACATCTATCTTCTGTTTATAAACTGTTTTATAACCATCCAAAAATGACAGGTAAGATTTTGGTGTTACATGGGTTTGACGACGGAATCTGAAAATGAATGAGTTACAGTATGGCAGTATGGCAGTTTGACATTAAAAAAGGAATGCATACATAATTTTGGCAGATATTTTGCGGCAGACCAATAAATCAAATTATGATTGAACTCATTTTAGGGTTTTAAAAGTTCCATATTGTAAGTTTTGGTCATTTTTGTGGTTTTCCAACTTTATTGCACAATAATGACAATGTTTATTGTACGTTTTCTTGAGAAAGAGGGTCCAGCCCAGGACGTACCTTTGGAAATAGTCCACACAAACCAATGCTACATTATCATGTACTACACCCATAGTGTTGACAATCTGTTTTTTAATATCTGGTGTACATTCCATCTTAAAACTATTGAGGAAATGACCTGATACAGCCATAAGAGCATCACGGGGCCATTTACTAAACCAATCCATAGTACAACCTGAGATTAAACCTGGAAACTTTAATGCTCTTGTTCTGAATTTTTCTCCGACCTAAAATTCAATTATAGATCAAGATGATCAGCAAGAGTTCTCTATCCTGTGCTCTTAAGAGGATTGTCAACATATTATAGGAATTTTTAGTAAAAGTACTATTACAACTTGGCATAAAAATATTTTAACATATGAACCAAAAAATAATTTACGTTTTGTAAGCTCCTATCATCCTAACTATAATTAAGCAATTTCTTGGTATTCTGGTATTTTTTGCAATCCTGGGACCTTGACCTTCAGAACCTGAAAATCTCAGGCTGAGATGATTTTAGTGTTCCAGTCATATAATTGGTCAATCACTAAAATTGATTTTGAATTAAGTTATGTTATCCAATCGGATTACTGAATATTTCTCCAAATTTAGAATTTATTTAATTTTAGTTTTGGAGAATAACAAAATGCTAAGCTTGCAATAACTATATAAGGAATGATTATTACATATACAAAGGTTTTTTAATCCAGTAAAACTGGTGAATGTTCATCCTATGCTTAAACATTTATAACATTCAAATGTTGTAGTCCAGTCCTGATTTCACTGTATCCCTTGTTTCCATACTTATACCTGTATTATGAATAAACCATTCAAAAACAGGTCCCTTAAAAGATAATAATCAAGATTTGAGTGTAAGTGGAACTTACAGGAGAGAAACAGAGTACAGTATGAAGATTATTTCTAGCTCTAGATATAAAATAATCATATAAAGTTTCCTGTGTTGGAGGTCGACGAGGATATTCAGCTTTCATTACTGGTATCAATTCTTGAGTTATTTCATCTAATTCATCTCTCGCAAATAAATTAGACACCTAAAATAATTTACAAAGACATCTAATTAAACCTGAAACAATGATTGCCCAAAGCACCACAGTTTCAGTCAATTGATAATCAGTGAAGTCACTTTCTACAAAAGGGTAAGACTCATGAAAAGTATTTGGTCATATTTGCCTTGCCTGGCCTCTTCTGTGTCTGCCTCTTGTCCTTAACAATGGAAGCATGTTGGGAATTCTTCAACCAACATCTAAACCATTACAACAATAAGATACCATGAGTTAGCAGTCAGCTGTTACAGCCAAATCCCATGGCAAGAAAATAATTTGAAGCCATGATTATCAAGCTACTACAAAATACACAATGAATCTACTGACTTACCTCACCAGAACTCAGTACATTGTTTAGATATTCCAGAAATCCTTCATCTTTAATTTCATTATCAGTAAACAGGAAGGTGATACCTTGACCATTTCCACCAGCAACACGATATAGATATTTTAAATCATCCATTAAATTACTCACATTGTATGTTCTACAAATTGAAAACTACATTTTTAGAGAAACAAGTGAGAACTGTTTTAATAAAACATTATAGAAGCAGTATTATCTAGTAGTCATTCAGATATATTCAACTATATATTTAAAAATGTAATTTGAATTGTTTACAAAAGTGATAGCAACTGAACTAATGGTATTGAGAAGTATATATTACATCTTGAAGTGTTATTGGATCATTATATAGATAAGAGTTTTACAGGGAAATAAGCGTTATTGGAGACAGATAGGTGTTACTGGAGAATGAGTGTTATAGAGAAAAAAGTCAGATAAATGCTAAATATTGAGGATTTAGTGTCAATGAAAACAAAGAGTTTTTGAAATCAAATATTATTTGGAAATGAATGCTATTGAGAAATGAAAGCTACTATAAAAGGGTGCTAATGAAGGAGTGTGTTATTCAAGAGAGTGGTCAAAAAGGTGATTTAAATGTTCAATAGCAAAGAAAAGCTAAAAAGAAGATGCTAGAGCAGTAGATAAAGACACAAAAGCAATCTAAGATAAGTCTAGCAAGGCAGTATAACTGACAATATATGCAAACCTTTAATGGTGTTTAAATATCTGAAATACAAACACATTTTTGAGGAGTTTTATTCAAATAAATCATTGATGGTATTTATACTGTCAAATTCAACACATACATGACAAATTCTTCATGGGTCTAGTATTCCACCTACATCTACCTATAGCTTAGGTAAGTGTATATGTAGATAATATTAGAAAGTTTAGAGTGAATAGTAACATACCTAGTGAGGGTAATCTGAAATATTTTGTAACCAGCTATAAAGGTAGCTAGTCTAGTTAGTGACTGTTTACCAGAACCACCAACACCAACTAATAATGCTGCTCCTCTAGGTGTTCTTATAATACGTGATATCTAAAACATATAATATATAATAATAGTCTGAATTTGGTTAATTTGGCATGCTAGACAGAGAGTAAAGGAGTAAATAAGGCAAATTCCTCACTTTTGAAACAATGAACAAATCCATGAAGGGTCATTTTGTTTCAATCATGTATTTTAAATCCACCCAGATTGGTGGATTGTGCTACCACCTTGTTGCATGTTCAAGCCTTGTTTGATTTCAGCTCCCAAAACTGGCAATGATCATAGGCTGACCATCTGATGATAGTGGTAGATTAAAAGTTACACACCTTAACAAGATGAACCATGGCATCTTTAAAGAATACAAGATCCATTTGACCACCTCGTACCATTTCATTATATTGTACCATATACTGTAGTAACTTCTCATTAAGAAACTCATAACTTGGTATCTACAATTATAAAATTAATCAATTTTTTAGGTTTCACCTTGAGTTTCTGTGCTCAATATCTACAAATATCATTTCCTTTTTTGATGATTGTGTAAGAAAAATATTTAAAGACAACCATTATCCCTTTGAGATGTAATACTTTGGTAAAAACTCTTCACTGATTTATAATTCAACACTCTGGTCCTTACCATTTCATAGATTTTAGGTGCATCGAAATTAGCATCATCTGCTTCTTCACCAGTTGGCTCAGGTGCATCTCGTAAGAAATCTACAAAGTATGGTTCATCAGCTAATATACTGACAACATCATCATTAGACTGGGCTCTTAACACTGATTTCATAGCATCTTCAAACCATTTCTTATCTTCATAATTAGTGAACCTTCAATGATCAAATGTCAAGTTCAGCACAAATTATCAAAAATCAAATGGTTGTTTCAATTGTATTCATATTTTTTCTTGAAAGCACAGAAACAATTTATCTAAGAGTATCAAATTCTGCTAGTACTATGCTTGCATGCTAGTTAAAACCAAGTTCATCAAACTAACAAAATAAAATTACAGATATCTTATCGGTTGATAAACTATATTCAAAATCAATTTTCACAAACTGAACCTTGTGTTATTAGTCATTGAAGGTTTTTAGATTTTCCATCACCATTTTTGTTGCAGGTCCGGATGCTTACCTATCAGCAATAGATCTAGTACATTCATGTTTCCATAAAGCCAGGGCATAGGCAGCATCTGTACATTCCTCACCACCAACGGTAAGCATTCCCTGCCAAATCCTAGATAAATCTCTCAAGTTGAAAATATAATGAAACTTGGCTGGGGTTGGTAACATTTTAATCTGAAATATGAATTTCAAATGTTAAAGTTCAAATCAAAGATGTAAAGATTTTGTTAAAAAAAAAAATTTTTCATTAAAAAGTATTTGATGGAAGTCAAAAGTCAACCATGATGACTTTTTGACTTTTATTATATCGAAGATTTGTATTACCATACAGTCCATAGCACAGGACTTACAATGACTTTAAGAGGATAATTCTAGGACCCAAGAAGAGTTCATCTTAAATAATACTTATATAAAATAAGACATCACTTTTATCATTTGCACCACAGGTATTGTGTCAGTTTAACTTTATGGCAAAGATCCTATGGAATCCATGCAATCAAGTTCTTTGCAGGTCCAAAGCTATTTTCAGACATTCAAACGACCTGTGGGAACCTTCTGGTCGGAACAGATAATAAAATATTAATCAGGTCACCTTTATCTGTTGCCAAAGTATTCTTGTAGTTGGAACTAACATCTGAATAGTTTCACAAACATCAGGATGAAATCTTGATGGACAGAAATATCCTTCACCAATAACACCTGAAAATACCAACAACCAAATGTCGAAAGAGATAAGAATGCATAACCCTTAATTGTCTCATCCAACCAATCAAATGATGTCGTTATGCTCTGATTGTCCTAAGCATAAGATTAAAGCATGTAATTAAAAAAAGATCTTACCAAAAATCTTATCAATAGAGCTATTGGATGGTAGTGTACAATTAAAGATACAGAATTGACGTTTAAGACGTTCTGGTATATCATTTCGACCACCTCCAGGATGTATCATGGCAGCTATAAACTGAACATCAACAATGGACAAGAAATCACCAGGTTTATCTACATTATACATTCCATGCATCTCCATCATTTGTCTGGTAATCTCATTGGTTACCTACAAACAAAATTCATTTAAAACATCTGCAAAATCTTTCCATAGCAGATGGATGAGATCAGCAGCTGAATGCACAATTAACAAGAACTCTCTAATCTTTTCCAAAAACCAAAAGTGATGTCTGCATTTCAAAGTTGGATCATTGAAATTGATTGACTTTGTAACCGTTTAATGACCGTGCTGGCAATTAACATATATGCATTCACACTAGAATTATTTGAAAAATTGGTGATACAGTGAATATCATTCATGTACTTTAAGGTTCAATACAATTTCTTACAAAAGTTTGGTTAGGATTTGTGAAATATAATATGTGAAGTTTACCTGATCACCCCATTCATTAATAATAGGCATATTAACATCATCAATAAATACAGTCATTCTCCTACCACCTGGTGGTCCATAGGTACTACCCATTCTCTTCTCTACAAAACTTTCTATAGTTCTCTGTGATATTTACAATAGTTTTCATTAAATGATGAGCAATGGATCCACTGCAGTTACAGTTACATTGGCTATGGTATAAATTGTGAATACAGAGCACAATCCATATTAGATTATCAATATTTACCAGGGTCAGTGAAAAATTCTAAAACTTTCGAGTAAATCTTTATAATTTGGATCCTGTTTGATAAGAAATTCTTAGGGTAAAAATTCACGCAAATAAGCATATACAGCAATTAAACTATTGAAGCATTCATGGCACCTGAATCAACGCCTTTAAAATTGGCAAATTAGTCGCAGCATTTTTGTTAAAATTTGAAACCAAGCTTTTTTGTCTATGTCATCATATCAGCATGGTGAAGTTGAAAGTTATTTCTGAATGAACCTTGGAGGATCTGATAGAAAATAGAGGAAGTACCTGGAACATGAGTGGTGTAGATGCTGAAGAAAAGTTAAATGATTTTCCTAGTTGTACATCAGGATCATAAGAAGCCATATAACCTTTAATCATAACAGTTTTAGCTGTACCTTGTTCTCCAATTAATAATACAGCCTAAAATATAATCAAAACATAAAACAGTTGTTCTGGTTTTTTTGGGGTTTTTTTTCTCCTTCTTCAACTTGAAATGTTGCCCAAATACATTTTGGTGTATCTAAAAAAGCATGCATAAGTACCGTACTTAATGTTAATACCCTCAATAATTCAAATTTTATTAACTATACCAATTCTACAAGAAATATAAACAGTACCTTATTTTGTTTAGCTATAGTATGTAGTAAGAAGTTAGATCTGACATTATCTACATTAGGTACCAATATAGAAGCAAATTCTGGTACACTATCAGATGGATAGAGATATTCTTCTACACGATTATTCCAGTGATCCCATTCACCTGAAAATTATTCCAAAATTCATCACACATCAGAGTGGATAGAGTTTTTACCAACTGGTTTATTTCAAAGAATTCTAGAAAATATAAATAACATGGACACTTATAGAATGTTCATCATTCAGATCTCCAGTTCAACTTAATGATCTTGTCAAATTTCCTGGAATATTACAAACCAAACATTGGACCCCAAATCAAATGGTGCAATTATACTCTATGAGTTTCCCTGATATAAATACATGGACTAGAATACCTCAATGACAAAACAATTCTTACCATTATCATTAACTACAAATTCAAAGATAGTTTCATCTCCACTCATTGCTGGATAATCTAGTTTACTATTATGTTTTAACATGTAATCTTGTAACTTAGCTCTATCTTCTAATTCTAATAATGCCCCTAAACTCCACATTATAGCAAATATAAACAATCTTTCTAGATGTTTGGCTGGTAGACAACCTTTATCATCTTTTTTAGGTATCAATCCTTCTAATAAATCACATGTCTACAAAATACAATAGTTTACAATATAATAAGTGACACATGAGGAGGCATGCAAAATCTGTTCAAAATTGATCTGATGCAGCTCTACAACTTGATTTGAATTTGAAAATCCTTTCGGAAATTTCCCTAAATTATATAGTTATATAAGTTATATTTCATCCTACCTGTTTAATCAAATTACATTCTAATACCACCATTTTGACTGATGTATTCTGGGTAACGAAAGTGTAAAACTCATCATAGCATTTCTCATAGAAAACATTTAATATTTCAGCTTCTTGTGTATTACGAGATTTTAACCAACCCTGTAATAAAATACAATTATAATGCTTTAAATATATAAAGCAAGTTTGATTTAAAAGGAAAAATGTTCTACAATGATATCAACAAAAAGTTTATGTTCTGCTATTTACAATCTTACTGATGGGTTTTCTTAATATTTTGTAGTGATTTTCACTATTATGGGCAACTGTTTATAGTCCTACCCTAACGTAACTTTTCCATTAGTACACAATTACAACCATTACTCCCTAAAAAAGTATGCCTCATCCGTGTTGGCTACTATGACTAGCAACACTCACACTGTTATAAGAGACTGAAAAATCTGAAGACATCATTTCAACATGTCAGGATTGAACCACAGGAAGTTAGTCAAAAAGTACATCTATTGAAGTAGTTAAGAGATTTATAAAGCTCTTACCTGTAAAATAGGTCTCCAATCCAGAGCAGAACTAGACATAAAGACCATACCATTTCTAGATACTGTAGCTGGAGAAGCGTTGTCAATATTGTGCACCTCAAATACAATCTTACAGTTTGGAGCCATGGGAATACGATCACCATTAGCTAGAGTTAATGTTTTATTATCATCTAGTACAGAATTTAAATTCTCAATCCAAATAGCATCTACTGGACCGTCCAAAATAAGCCAGATATGGTCTCCTGCAAATAGAATAAAACAGACATATAAAATAGAAGAGTTCTTATTTACATCTTGCAGTATTTATGTTACTAGATATAAATGTTGATCAGTGGTTCCTGATCATTCAGCAACTCTTAAGCTCTTGAGCTTTTGATTAAAGCTGACTCAAGACCATCATCAAAATGCCATTTTATTTGGGGGGCTTCCTAAGATATCTGCCAAAGGAGGTTAAGACTTTAATGTATCCAATGTGAAATGTTGTTAGATTGAGAGATGTACAAAGTGAGTCTAAGGAATCCAAACCTTTTTTAGATTTCAAAGTACGTCTCCAAAGAGTAGAGAAAATACCATCAGTCCAATCATTAGTAGCTACATCTAAACGACCAAACATCTGAGGTGCTGTGATAGATTTAGGGTTCATCCTCATTTCACGATGTGGTGTACCACAGTCAGTCATAGCTCTCATTAATACCTGTATACAACATGTTTTACCAGCTCCACTAGGACCTAATGTCATCATACCATGACGTACACGCTGGGTTTCAAACAACTAGAATAGAACATCATGGCATACAAATAGAACTCTATTTCCTATTTTATCAGGGACATGAAATTACATTTACATCATTCTATTTTCAGTCAGATGTTCTTGTGGACATCTCTATCACAAAAGCTGCTAATTATATCTAAGAACCTTTTCAATAGTGAGTTGTAAAACACTGTATAATGATGACATGCACCAGTTCAACTAAATTAATATATGGAGTAAAAATTTGAAGGGTGGAATAAAAGAAATAAATTATGACTCACCTGAACTACTTTCAGATTCCAAGATGGATGATTAACTAAACCTAGATTATTGACCTGATTATCTACAGCTACCTGTAGGTCAGCATAGGAAGCACTATCTAATGTTATACCAGGAAATAAATCAGCAATTAAACTTAAAAATAGAGGTTCATCTTCATCTACCTACAATTACAACAGGTCAAATTTATTTAGTTTCCAAAATTACTTCTGATAATATCATTTTTAATTGAATATCTCACTGGTTTGAAATTTGATCACTACAAATACTAGGTATCTTATCAAATATTTTCTTGTGACAAGAGATTGTAAAGAGGTTTTGTGTCTTTTGTGTGTATCAGAGCCATTTAAGGCTTCTATTCTATTAACTTACCAATTTAGATAAGTTCATATCTCTCAAGACTCTCATAACAATAGTACTTTCGGTATCGTTAGGTCTAGCTCTCTTGTTGGCACCAAGTGTACGTAATACTGATAAAATATTTCTCAAACCAAAATCATAGTGAACCTAAAATATATATTCAGAAATCAAATTTCCATGGAAAGTATCTAATGCTTTAAAATGAATTATTTTGTCAGTGAAAAAAAGAAATTGTCAAGAAATATGATCTTGTGATGACCATGGGATATCCTTGAAGTGTTGTAGTTCAATTCCTAATTCAATCGTTTTTGGTTCCAATGAAAAGTAGCCAAAGTCACAGTGCTAATACCAACCTGTTTTGAAAGCTGTTCTTCACAAAGTTTATACAAGGTGAAAAATTTCTGAGCTAATATTATATTTTCTATAAAACCACAGGCAGCTAGTTTGACTCTCATAATAATCTGTAAATATATATAATACAATATCATATCATTATTATGGCATTATTACACACACCTTCCATTAAACCATTTATCAATAATAGTTCAGATCGTACTTGGTTTCTTTATGCTACCATGGCTTTGTGGAGATGAATTTCAACCAATCAAAACAATCCTTTTCATACAAGGGGGGGTTTTCCGCAATCAAATGATATTTACAGTACAAAACAAAATGTATTAAGAAGCATGTTGATAATCTGAAAATCATGAAACAACATGCATATTTATCACCTTCAATCTAAAAGGAAGAAATATTTTACCTGTCTATCTGGAACCATCATACTGACAGTACGGAACTGAACTTTTAAATTTTCAGGCAATTCCTGACGACCAGCATAACCAGGATTCTACAAAGTAAAAACATACATACTGTCATTATGTCTCATATATATAACTTAGTTGGCAGGAAGTTAGATTGTTGTTTGCAAGGTGCAAGTGTTTTAGTACACCTACCACCACTCCCACCCCAAACAAATTCTAAATATCTAATCCACTTTCAACATTAACAAGTGCACTGCACAAAGAAAGTGTTTGAAGTTAAAAAAATAAAAAAACATACCATAGTCAAGAAAATACCAAATTCAGGATTCATATCAACTAAATCACCATCACTGAATAAGAAATCTTTCTTACGCTCTTTTTTAGCAGTAAGTACAATATAAATCTGTTGGGCTGCTACAGATAATACTGGTAGTTCAATACGATTAAATTCATCAAAACATCCCCATGATCCTGACTGGGCTAATCCTGGAAAAAAACAGACAGAAATCAATCTCAGCCATGGTGACCATAGATAATTCTACAGACACAGTTGACAAAAATAGGTGAGTAGGTTTACAAAAAAACTGTAGACTGATCAGTTTCCACAGCTTAGAGAAAGAGTTACTTAACTGCTTAACCCTAAAATTGCTATAAGTAAATCATGCTGGAACTTATCTTTAAGTTGATAACAACACCTACCTTTATAAATACGTCCTAAACCTCTAAAATCCATCTGATCAGAACAATTAAATACCACAACATATTTTCCTAGAGCTTTACCCATATCTTTAGTGGTTTCTGTTTTACCAGTACCGGCTGGTCCTGCTGGAGCACCTCCCATAGACATACCTAAAGCTTGTGCTAGGGTTATATAACATCTGAAAGAATACACTACAGATTAGATAATGTCCATCCTGCTAAATACAACCTGAATATTGGTGACAACTGCCAGTTCAGTTCAGAATCAATATCATTTTCCTTGTTTGGATGATTTTAAGATGAAAGATATAAATTTGGCAATTCAATACAGTCAAGTAACCTAATTTCATGCTAACAATATCAGCTAGTAGAATGAATCCAGTAGTTTCAAGCAAGGTAAAGTGTATTAATGTATGCTTTGACATAAACAAAATGGCGGATTTCACTTATTACCAAACGTCACAATTTTTTATCTGCCACATTTCCTTATAATCCCTAGCTGTAATCGGAATTCCAAGTGTCGTCTGCTAGAATGTAGTAAAACGAATGAAGTCACTTGATCAACTAGCGGATTCCGTGTCAGCAGAAAAATTCTATGGAACACAATGTGGGCCATATTCTTATGTTGTTTCCATGACTTTTAGCAATAGATCACGCAATGTTTCTTATTTTGTCAGTCATTATTTTTTTTTTTTAAATCGTGGTTCTTTGAAGGAATTGTCACTAGTCATGAATTGATATTAAAGATAAATACTAAGAGAAGTTAAGTATACCACCCGGTTGCTACATACAACGTGTTTTTTTGACTTATTTATAGATCAAACATTGTACACGAACATAGGTGACGCATTTTGCCGCCGTTGTCCAGTTGGTTACTCATGAAATATGGGTTAAAGTGAGAGATTCATAAAGAAAATCGAATCAAACCAATTTTAATTATTTTGAAGAATATCTGAGGAAACATCTAAGACATAAAAAAAAAAATTCTGTGTTTTTAACTTTGACGAAATTCGGTGTTGAATCCTTATATCCATGGAAGTAGGTTACACTACTGTATAATTCTGTTACAAAGGCCACATTTTCAGTTCACTTACAAGGACAAGAAGTGGATTGAGGTTTGTGACCATTATAAGCTTATAGTTTGTTTCTCTTTATATATTTGACCAACAATTTGTATATCTGGCATCAAACAGCCAACAGCCCAATTCTTGAAAAATAAAACCAAATATTTACCTATCAGTTAGAGGTGTAATGACCAAACGATCAGTACAGCCCAGAAATTCATTTTGATAGATAAAATCTACATCTGTAATCTGTACTATACATTGATCTGTATCTTCTTTAAAATAAAATCTAGCTTGTTTTAACCACTCAAAATCACTTGGTGTTTTAATATGCATTTTGACCTATAATAATATAATTCATTAGATTGATTTGAATGAGGGGTTGAGATCTCTAAATTTACAGGTTTCCTAGCTTTTTTATTTTTATCAGGGGTCAGTCATGATATGACATCAGTGTTGATCGAACATCAGAATGAAAATTGAAATGGTGCAAATCACTGTTTTCAGTTTCCCCAATACACATAAAAAGTTTAGAGAACAGTTTTACAATCCATATTTAATTGATACTTTATGATTAAGGTGATCATAAAGAATATTATTCAGATCTGAAGTGGAAGCCTATTAAGTTTAAACACATACCATGTCATCAAAGATATCTCGTTGATGAACATGAATTGTTACCAGAGTTTCATACTTGACTCTCTCAAACTTAGTTAAATCTCTTGTCGTCTGGTCAATCAACTTATTCAACAGATCTAGAAACTTCTGATTGGTTGTTGGCATGATCTTCTTATCAGATCTGGCCAATCGTAAAGCATCTTCAGCATCTCGTGTCCATAACATCTGAATACCTAATAATCCAACCTAGAAAATAATAAGGTGTCATCAACTGTTGATTGTTTACTTCTGCTGGAAGCTTCCAACTTCATGCCTTTAATTTGTCTTTTAATTTTTGCTGCCACCTCAGTTGTGATGAAGGACGAGCAACCATAGGGACGTATTTAATTATCAAAGAAGGAATTAAAACAATATAACAGGGTAGCTTATTGCCAAGAAAGATAACTCAAAGAAAGCATGAGGGAGGTATTGAGAACAGGTAAGCCAGTTTGTTCAGTTTCTTCTGTTTAGTTTACTAAATACTGACACCACAATAGTTGTAAACAATAACCCTGTACCAGTGCCTTTTGTTAAATGGTAACCTGTTACCTGTTATTAATCACCAAAGACGTTTCATATATATGTAGGCTTCTGTTAAAGGTTATCTATGGAGTCTTCGGTTTATCAAATGTAACCAGATAATATATTACTTTGGGTTAACAAAAAAATACAACAATAATTAATTAATGAATTAGTAAGATTATTGGTAATAAATATCAAATATACTGACCTGTGCTACATAATTATTACAGAAATTGAGCAGCTCAAAATCAGAACTATCAATATATCTAAAGGCATCTCGTATTACACCATGTAATGATCTCATAGCTTCTACCATTAATTCACCTAACCATATCTCAACATTACCCTTCGCAATTACTGCTTTCTCCAACTGAAATAAGTCCAAATAATTAGGAAATAAATATACCATTCACTTTCAACCACATTCAATTTCAAAGTGAATCAGGCCAAATTTGAATACTGTTACTGCTTCATGCAGGAAAGAAGATTTAAGATTACAACTGGGATTCCACAATACATACCAACTTCTCTATTAATATATTCATCCATACACAGAATGAAAAGCAGTCTCACACTTAAATATGTGTGAATTAAAAAATGACATGCTCACTTACAGGAATTTTCTCTCCTTCTCTGGAAACGACTGCAATAATTCTATCATAATCTTTTTCATGGAACTGGACTTCACTTATATTTTCAAAGACACCAGTAAGATGTGCCTGTATAGTATGAGAATCACTGGCTTGACCCAAAATTTCTAACAGCGAAGGATCAGAAATAAAGAAAAATCTAGGGAACACCAATCTCTTCTTTTCTAAATATCTGAAAGAAAAGAAAAATAAAATAATTATCAATATCTGTGCGGCAGTATAATTCAAAAGTGAAAGATGAAACTTTCCAGACCAGCTGATGCATGTTGGCATTCCATTTGACGAGTCCAAATAACGTTCGAATCTGACAGACTAACAGTAACAGTTAACAACATGCTAGTTGCAGATTCCAGTCACTCAATTCCAAAAAAAGATCCTAAAACGTAAGCAACTGCGGTGACATCTGCAATATTTTAGTAGTTGGCTGTTTGAGTCCAGCAGATTCAGCACTTCTACCAGATACAGCAGATCACTAACTGCAAATTCAGTTGATCTCAGACTATGTCAGACAAATTCTCAACCTGAACCCCCTTTTATCTTATCTACAAGATATAAGAAAGAATTGAAACCTACCCAGTAAGAGATTTCTGACATAGTTCTAACTGTTCTAATAAATGTGGTAAAAGTTGTCCTAATGTTTCATCTCCAACACAACATTGTACAACATTAGTTACTTCATGAGCTCTTAACATAATCTTACCCCACGATTTATCTATATTCTGAAATCTTTTAGCTTCCTACAATTAGATTAGAATTTCAAAACTTGAAATCAAATTTTATCAAACAATTTAAAAAACGAAAAAAGAAAACTAAAGCAGGCTAGTCTAGGGCAATACATACACCCCCAAAAAATGATACAAAACAATTAAATCTAAATTTTGATCATATTGCACAAAATCCATAGGCTGGCAACAGTGACACATGTTAAAGTTGAAAAAGTCGCATATAAGCAGCCAGCAAGTCAGAATAAATTCTTTAAATATTTTTCTTCTGATGGAAAAACATTGAGTAAAGAAAAGCCTAGTACCTGAGGAAGTTGTTTAGCAATGTCACCACCAACAAATACAGCTTCTAAATATACCCATAGATTCTGGGTTGTTAACCAATTTTCTAAAATATCTGTAGTGTTTGATAATTTAGCTACCCATTCTTGTATTTTCTTTTTAAACGGCGCATTATATCTAAATTAAGAACAAATATTTTTCAAATATTCTGGTGCAACAGTATATTGGATAGTCTTTGAATGGTTTGTAAAGAGGTATTCTTCTTGGGAAAAGTTCATCATCTGTTTGACCAATCGTACCTTTGTCTAAGAAACCATCAAAGTTTAAGCCTTCAAATCCATGTGTCTTCAGAATTATCGATGTTTTAAAGTTAAAATAACAACTTGTCTTTTCTTCAGACTCCATCACACATGTAGAAAAGACATATGTAGCAACAGAAAGTGAAATTAAAATTTGAGGTATATTTGAAGGAATTATGAGATTTTTGTGCAGTTCTTTTGTACGTCTGATGCTATTTACAGTCAAGACCCAAATCAAGCCCAAAAACATGGCTTCAAACCTGTTACTTAGTAAGGAACTAAGAATCATCAAACTGTCTTCTAATAGAGATATAATCTCAGTTGTCTCCCCTCCTTTTAATAATAATTCACCTCGAGCCTTGAAATTGGCAAAACTTAATATACGACCATTCCAATCAGCAACACACTGGGATAGTTTTGCTTCTATATCTTTTTCTTTTACAGCAGAAATACAAATATCCTGAAGGAAAGAGAGAAATATTACCTTTTACTTTAAAACAGGTTTTTTTTAACATTCCAAATCATCCAAGCTACTCATTGCCATTTCAAACCAAATTTGATGTAATTCGAGTATTTAGAACTATTTTTGAAAAAATATGTTATCCTACTATTTGATTCTATATCGGAACTTTCATGAAATGTTGTGCAGTTTTGTGGGTATTACTTACTATTCAAAGTTCAAGTATCTCTACACAAATTTTGTTCTGGGGGCAATCTGATTGGATAACAAAACTTTAAAATCCATTTTAGTGATTGATCAATCAGATGACTGGAAAGAAAGATTAATAGAGATACGTTACCTCAATGTCTTCTTTATATTTGAGTAATGGTGCCTTCATGATATCTTTTAGAGTGAAATTCTCTGATTCCAAATCAAAAGTATGTCCAGTCATTTTAGCAATTCGATCCCAATGTCTTTCTTTCATAGCTTTATTAGACATTAACTCTAATAGAGGACAAGTTTCACTAAAATCATCAATCTTCTTCTTTAAATCATTATAAGCTTGCCATTCTTTTAGAGCTTTGGGTAACTTTCGACATCTACAAAATATGAATAGATGGCATATGAAGATCTCCAAATTTGTAATGCTAAAGTTAATGCTTTATGCTAATATACTTAATCTATGTTGTATTTGTTAACGCTCTGAAAATTGGAAGTGGAGAACTAATCTATATTAGTATTTATAACCATTTAAATTAAACTCGAAGTTGTCTGTCCTCATTTAGAAACTCAGATTTATTTAGAACAACCTAAGGTCTCTGAGATCTGGCAGACAAACATGAAAGCCAATCTGAATTATTAAAAAAAATAATTATATCACAAACGAGGTAAGTATATATAAACCATGAAATGGATGCATCCATACTGATTTACCAAAGTGCGAACCAGTTATATTCCAAGTGGTAAAATTTACTACCTCCCAGTGGTATCGAATACAGCATTATAGTCACATAAGAAGTGTTGTGATGTGATGTTCCCATAAAGAATGAAGATAAAGCTCACCTGTTTTGTAAATCCAATAATTCTGTATTGATTTTCTCAATGTCCACCTCAGTCCACAAGATTTCAAAATATCCAGAAATAACTGTCATGACACTGTTATATAAACCATACAGTTTCTGTAGTAATCCTAATTCTTTCTTAATTTTCACTAGATTGGGATATTCTGTTACCACTAAACCAAATAACTGTTCACCAGCAGAATAGATGGTATACTTGTTCCATAGCTCATCAAATTGACTCTAAATAGTACAGAACACAGATATTAAATAAGCTTAACAGGTCATTGGAAATCCATTAATTATACACAACTCAGGGTTAATTTGTAAATATCTTAGAATCAACAAAATTTATCTTTTTTTTTTGTCAGTCAATGTACTAATTTTTAACACAAACCAGCTGAAAACACATTTCACCAACCATCTCTCTAGATGATGGAAACATTGTCAACAACATGAACATAAATCTTATTATATCAACAAAACTAATGGTATGGAAATAAAATGACTAGCTTACCTGAAATATCTGCAGTCGATCATTAGCCTCTTGTGGTGAAATACCTGGACACATTGGTCCTTCCTGTAACAAAATTATACCGTTTATTTACAGGTGAGGACAGTATGTTAGAAATGTTGAAAGCATTTCAGTACAATTTTAACCCACTTGAGCGTATGATTATTCTAATCACCAATAATACGAACATTGATAGTGAGTTGTATTAAAAACTACACAGGGTAATCACCAGTAATCAGTTGATTAAATACAACTCAGTAACCTTAATCTATCAATAATAAGAATATCGATAGTGAGTTGTATTAAAAACTACTCAGGGTAATCACCAGTAATCAGTTGATTAAATACAACTCAGTAATCTTAATCTACCCCTGGTAAGAATATTGATAGTGAGTTGTATTAAAAACTACTCAGGGTAATCACCAGTAATCAATTGATATAATACAACTCAGTAATCTTAATCTATCAATAATAAGAATATCAATAGTGAGTTGTATTAAAAACTACTCAATGTAATCACCAGTAATC